TACAATACTAACGTTGCATACAATGCTAACATTACTTACATCACTAACATTACTTACAGTATTAATACTTCTTTTAAATTTAATTTCTACGTAGCATATATTCTGTTACAAATACACAATACTAACATTAAAAAGCTTACAATTTACAACACAGTGCTAACATCGACTTATAACTTCATAAAGTACCAGTTTATGATTATCGCTTACAAAATGTTATTTTACCTTACAGTGCGTCATATTGCTTACTTACAAACATTACTTACTACATATGATATTAACTACTTATAAGACGTTGCGTAAAATTACTGAATTACTTGCAGTATGCTAAATTACTTACGTACATCATTTGCAATACATCACATTATTTCATTTGCAAACTGTTATGATTATATTACTTACTTACAATGCGTTATAATTCATACTTACACGAATCACTTGCATCAGGTGGTAACATAATGACTGTAGCACGGTTATCATTACATTCTCTAAAGCAACACGCACGCACACACACAGTACAGATACACGACTAAAGCAAAGCAGCCCACGTTTCTGTAAATTGATCAAGTTCTTTGTTTTTAACAGCCAAAGTGCGAAGGACACAGAGTTTGTCTTTTGGGCGCAAAAGAAAGCTATCAAAGGCTAAGGAGCCAAGCGTATGCTTGAAGCGAAAATATGATATTTTGCGATTATTAGAGAGTAGTTGAGGGCTATAGAGTTAATTGAGCTGATGAGCTTATGACGGCAACCGTACAAGATTACTTTTTCTGATAGAACTATACGTTGGTGAAAAGTTATCTGGCACCAGTGGGTAAAAAGGTACCAAAATGTCATGGACTCACAGCATGTGATCAGCAAGTGAGGCAATGTCTGGCTTTCTAAGTTACATAAAGGGTATTTATCGAGGTCCGTCAAACCGGCGCGAAACAAACTGGATTGCGTAGGTAAAATGCCGTGGATGATTTTAAGTTNTACAGTTTAATACTTTTTTAAATTTAATTTCTACGTAGCATATATTCTGTTACAAATACACAATACTAACATTAAAAAGCTTACAATTTACAACACAGTGCTAACATCGACTTATAACTTCATAAAGTACCAGTTTATGATTATCGCTTACAAAATGTTATTTTACCTTACAGTGCGTCATATTGCTTGCTTACAAACATTACTTACTACATATGATATTAACTACTTATAAGACGTTGCGTAAAATTATTGAATTACTTGTAATATGCTAAATTACTTACGTACATCATTTACAATACATCACATTATTTCATTTGCAATCTGTTATGATTATATTACTTACTTACAATACGTTATAATTCTTACTTACACGAATCACTTGCATCAGGTGGTAACATAATGACTGTAGCACGGTTATCATCACATTCTTTAAAGCAACACGCACACACACACACAGTACATATACACGACTAAAGCAAAGCAGCCCACGTTTCTGTAAATCGATCAAGTTCTTTGTTTTTAACAGCCAAAGTGCGAAGGACACAGAGTTTGTCTTTTAGGCGCAAAAGAAAGCTATCAAAGTCTAAGGAGCCAACGCGTATGCTTGAAGCGAAAATATAATATTTCGCGATTATTAGCTAGGGAGTAGTTTAGGGCTATAGAGTTAATTGAGCTACGGTTATGATGCCAACTGTATAAGATTACTTTTTCTGATAGAACTATATGTTGGTGAAACGTTATCTGCCACGTGGGTAAAAAAGTCCCAAAATGTCATGGACTCACAGCTTGCGATCAGCAAGTGAGGCAGTGACTGGCTTTCTAAGTTACATAAAGGGCATTTATCGAGGTCCGTCAAACCGGCGCGAAACAAACTGGATTGCGTAGGTAAAATGCCGTGGATGATTTTAAGTTGAAACATTATGAGTTTTGCTTCTTTTAAGATACGAAATGGGAGCAAGTAAACATTATGAATACTCTCATTAGTAAAACCGTGATTTAGAATTTTGGGTTCTGCTGTCGGTGTTAGGTATCTTTTTTCAAGTAGTTTTGAGTATACTAAGTTTGTGGAAAAATGTTGTGTAGGTGTTGCGGCTCCAGGTGCTAAACTGTTGGCAGGGGCGGCGGTATTGCGGAGATATGATTTCCAAGTTTTTGGAATGGCATTTATGAGGCCATAGTATACTGTAAACGGGCATTTTACACGATATTTTTCTTCAAACTCTGTCAGAGACAAAAAATTAAAGTCTGTATTAATGAAGCAGATCGTGGATGTAGATGATGCCTTTGCTATACCATTCGTTAATAAAGGTTGTCTTTCCGTCCAGCCGAATGTTGCGATTATTCCAGAT